GAGGCGCCCATTTATAACTTCCAAACAGATAAAAGATGAACCAGAATTGTCAATAGCGACTTGTGCAATAAGAAAACGGTTGATCGCCGTTAATCTGAAATCGCGAAGTCCTAGAAAAGTATCTTTACTGAAAAGTGTACACTTGAAACGGAGACTCGAATTTGCAAAACGGTTTATTAATGAACCTAAAACAATTTGGCGTAATATTTTGTGGACCGATGAGACAAAGGTTGTGTGTTTCTGGTAAAGAAAAACAGTACGTCAGACGTCCTCCTAAACAGCAATAGAATTCAAAATACACAACGGAAATTATAAAACATGGAGGTCTCAAGTTGATGTTGTGGGGTTGTTTTTCGTGGAATGGTGTTGGGCCTCTAATAAAGATCTCCGGCATTATGGACGCAGTTTTCTATGTTAATAATATTTTGGATCACGTGGTTTTACCTTATGTAGAAGAGGATTTGCCACTGAGTTGGCTCTATCAGCCAGATAATGACTCAAAGCATACCTCAAAAAGGGCTAAGGAATGGTTTCGTAGCAAAAATGTGAAATTAATGGATTGGCCGGCGCAGTCGCCGGACCTTAACCCAATCGAACCCTTATGGATGAATGTAAAAAAGGGAATAAAGGATGCTAAGCCACAAAATTTGGAAGAATTATGGAGAGCAGCAAAGAATACTTGGGAAAATATACCCCTCTCTAGATGCCGCACCCTTGTAGACTCCATGCAGTCCAGATGTGCCGAAATAATAAAAAATCGTGGGGAAGCAACTTCATATTAAATGTAAGGCCATTTGTATGCATTTCAAAACAACAAACTTGTGTTCTTATAATTTTTCATGCTCTGTTCATATTTTTTCGAACAGGCTGTTTAAGACCCAATGCMAMAAAATTTGCAGTACAAAAAAGTTAGTGCGTATTTGATGACCAGATTTTCAATTTTTTTAATACTCACAATATGTATAAATTTTTTAAGAAAAAAGGTTCAATAAAATATTACTGAGAAAATTTTATTCAATGATTTCGATATTCACTTTGGTTGTTCTTATTATTTCGAACACGTCCGTATGTATGGCTTTAGAATTTTAATCTACAAAACGGTAATTCGTGCTGTTAATGATGAATAAATATGAAGTATGGTCAATAAAATTTTGTACCTCATTTTAATGTAGTTGGAATGAATGTTTCTTGGAGTCATTTCCGCTTCAGGCAAATGACTGCATAGTTTCTACGAAAACATCTCATTTGAAACTCTTTGGATAGGAGTTAACTTTATTCACTAATTGGAAGCATGAAGGCTTCCTCGATAGACGAGTTGGTAAATTTGGTCTCTGTGGTTATAGTAATAAATCGAATAAAAATTTCTACCGGTTTCGGTTACCTAGACAGACTTTAAGCAGACTGCTGTACACAACAGTCGGTTCTACGCACCGGAATTGACCCGGATTTTATCCGGTCAAGGGCTGTTAATTCGGATATCTAACCCCGTTTAGATCGGTAAACCTTAGTTTAAGTTTGTTTCTGCTGCGTTTGCGCTAAAAGGATCTATCCAAACTCTACCTCGGTCAGGTGTAATACATGCAATGAATAGTTTTATCCTTTGACTTGCTCAGGCTTTAAGACACAGGGAGTGGAACACAAGTTACGTGGCTCTATATTGCCAACACACTAATGTGACTTTAGTCTCCACGGCTGTGCAACCTGCACTTAGTTCGCACACTGCGCCCCCTCTACCCGAGTGGCCAACAGAGGATCTCCACGGTCCATGGGAGCTCAAACAGCCAATGACTACTCCCATTCTGATCTGCAACAAGCTGTAACAAGCACCACCTACACGCCACTCCTTCACTCCCAGAATCACCCACGGACACCCGCATTTTACAATTTAATTGCAACGGACGCCAGAGCAAAGTCGTAGAGATAGTTGCACTTATGAATCGAAAACGCGTATCGATAGCTGCGGTCCAAGAAACCAAACTAAGCAGCCGCTCGTACGTAAAGATCACGGCCGAGATAATGGTGGAGACCTAGCCTTCATATTACACAATCGATGGGCACATCGACCGCAGGAATACTACTTGCACTTGCATGTCAAGGTATGGCTATCCGGTCAGGCGATATCGAGCTCGAAATATTTAATATATACATCTCTCCAGTTACATGTTGCTTTAAAGGAACCACCCCAATATAGGGGCGCTACTAGCGCTCGCGGTGAAAACCGTTTGGTACTAGCCGACTTTAACGCGCACTTCTTTGCATACCCCATCAGCCCCACTCATCTGACACCCATCCGGGTCCGGCCCGCTAAAACATAAGGCAGGGTAACATTAAAACGATAAAATTCGGAAAATTTTTGGTAAAAACGAATTTGGTTTGGTCATGCTTTTTACAAGCGATCATATAATTAAATAATGTTGGCACTGCTACCTTAGTAGGGCGGATGTTGTGGCGCATAAAAAATATTTTGGGTATTTGATGTTAAGTTTTAAGTCGAAATCTACTGAGCCGATAGAGTCATTAGAGGTCGAAAGTAAATCTGTTTCTATACTCATTACATGTTTCGAAAAAGATCGGCTCTACGCATGCTTACTCTGGAGTGGGTGAAGTTCTCTGGCGGCGGTACTTATGTTATTCTGCATTAAGTAATCTAGAAAGTTTTATTCTTTTCGTACAGAACTAAGAAACAAAAGAAAAATTTGCTAAGAATTTAATTGTATTTCAGTTGTTGGACGTGTTTTGTTATATGTTATCAGTTTAATTACTATTCAAATGTCGGTATAGCCAGAGATTTTCGTTTAAAAGTCTAGTTTATAATAATGACTGGAAAACTACTTATATTATATTTATGTTAATTCTCCTGACATCACCAAGCCATAACATCCAAATAACATATTTTACTATCGGTAATGTTAAGTTCGTCGACATTATGAAGATCTAGTCTGTACTCTTCTAGTTTTGCCTGTTTCTAAGATATCAGTAGTTGTACAACTCTTGGTAACTATGTTTGTATTGTAATATAATACTAATTTAATATGGTGCAAAATCTACTTCCCATTAAAACCCCTCTACAAGCGTTGTTTCTTTACAAGTTCATACAAATGTTTGGCCCAAAAATAATACGAACTATAATAAATAAGCTTAAAAAAAATATACTACTTATTTACTAGATATATACATATGTATATATGTATATCGTCACCTGAAATGCAAAATAACGAAAAAACATTTTCGGAAATTTACAGTGGCATGAATGAAACACGAATTAAAATGGAAAAAGAGTGAAACAAATTTTAATATTGTTAATATTATGTATGTCTCAATTTCGAATTTTTCGATGAGACGTTATTTTGCATTTCAGGTGGCGATATACATGTTTTATTGAATACAAATATATGTATTTGCGCAGAGATTGTATGTTTTTGAATGTACAGTGGCGAGGACACATATACTCAATTATACATCCCTTACGGTTTCAATAAAAAATGTGAAAGTTTGCCGTAAGTTTGCATTTCTCAAGATTTAAATAAAGAATTTAACTGGTAATGTGCTTTATTTTAATAAATAAATATTATTCTTTTTTAATATTTATTACATTAATTATATTGCCCTTCCAAATAATATTGAAAGTATCACCACACGTTCAGGGGCGAATTAGGCGAATGATGTCATAGGCGTTCAGAAAAAGCGACCTGTTGTAGCCAAAACACAAGTCAGGATTCACATAAAATTTTGACGGATGCACACGCACGTCTTATGATAATACATCAATTGACACCAAAGAATGCCAGAAGAGCACTCCGCGACATCGGCTATATCGCAGCGGTAAATAATAAAAAAAC